GGTAGTCAAGTCTAGCCACAATCTTCTGTCTCGTGTACTTACAATCAGCTCTGAGACAGAGTAACTTCCGTGCCGTGATTTTAAACAGTCCAGCATCTTCTCTGTCGATCTCTCTCTCTCTCTCTTTCTCTCTCTCTCTCTTTCTCTCTCTTTCTCTCTCTCTCTCTCTCTCTCTCTCTCTCTCTCTCTCTCTCTCTCTCTCTGCCTCTCCTCCCCTCCAGTTGTACTCATGTCACGATGTACTTCAGTGTATAAATGATGGGCTTGGTATAAGAGTAAGGCCCAGAAATGGGTGAATGCTCATACATAGTGCCATGCCTCTAAAGCTTAAATATGTCTCCTACATTAAAATCCCCACTGGCTAGAGAGTATCACAATGATGGGCTTGATTCCCGTCAGGAGACTATAAACATGGCAATGGGCATATGAAACTAAGCACTCTTTTGAATATGAAAATTGTGAAACAGGGCAACTGTCGAGGCTTTGATGTCTCCAGCGGGCAGTGATGAGAATCAAGCTTTGCAAATGATTGACTACATGTTGGCACCTTTCCTTTCCATCTCTCCAGACAATAGTGTTATATTGTTACTTGTTATCAGATCGTACCCCATCAGTCCTACCCAGTCGTGTTCAGTCTCTCGATGCAGAGGCCATCTCAGTGTCTTCACGCTCACTGTACTCAGCAGGAGTTGACTGGTATGTCTTCTGTCTTTGCCAAGCAACCGGCTTCTACATTCTTGTCCTCGTTTACTGTCCATTTCTAAAAGGCGGTTAATCCTCTCCAATTCCCTTATCTCAACGTGTCTGAAACGCAGCGCATTCGGTGTATGTCTACCTCGCTCTAAATGCTTCATACACTAACTACTACAGACCAACAAACTTCTTCGCGTTCGCCAGCTGTAAACTGCGCCGGAAAATCCTGGACGCTCTTCCATTTCTGAGATTTATTATTTTTTTAAGGAACTGAGTTTTGCGCGCACAGGCGCTTTAAGGGCAGCTTATTATTGTGCAGACTGTTGGTTCTTCGTCTTTTGGGCAGATGTATCACAGCTTCCAAGGAAACGCTGATACCTTCTACGTTGGCCAAGCCCCTGACACACACGCACACACACACATAAAACAGTAACTACAGTAATTCTATTTGCGGAAGTGAAAATGCTGGAGTGGACAGAGAAATCAAACAAAAATTTATAGACATACTTAAATTGTATGAAAGAATACGAATATACATCGCGTCCACTCATTCATTCTTCTTATCAATTAATTGGCAATTCCCTCCCCCAGCCCCCTTTTTTTCATTTCCTATTGATTTCATGTGTATGACATAAATTGTTTAATCGTCATTATTGTATTTGGGATTCTTATCCTCTTAATATTTCCTGTTTTTCGAGTTTATGCTTAGCTGTCAATGTTTCCCGACTAATTTAACAAATGTCAGCCATGTTTAATTTAATAGAGCATATCCGGGCAATAAACAACTCGATAGATCTTCATCCCCATGGGAAATTAATTTTTTGTTTCCTCCCCAGCCATTCGTGTCTCTGCTGCTGGTTGAATGTGCTCGATTATCTGCCCCTGGTTGTACAAGAGGCGTTGAAGACATACCAGGCATACATTTAAAGTATATATATATATATATATATATATATATATATATATATATATATATATATATATATATATATATATATGGAGAGAGAGAGAGAGAGAGAGAGTTGAAAACGGTGTTAACAGTTGGGTGTTCTCATCGGCAACATAGATGTAGAATATTTCTAATATATTTGGCTTTCTCCCTTTATAATATACAATTTATTTTTTGTTGAAAGACAAATGTTCATCATTTTTGCCTTTTTGATCTTCTCATTCTTCTTTTTTTTTTCTTCCTCTGTTGCATTCCCCATTCAAAGAGTATTTGCTTTGCTGCATTGTGCTATGCTGTGTTGTGGTTTACACCTAGGCTGTGATATTTGCCCATTTCGGTCAAATACAGTTCTTGTTATTATAATCAGCATCATAATTTCTTGATTCTTTCCCTCATTTCTTCCTGCTTTCCATTCTTCCTTAAGTTTTCATTCAATACTTTCTTTCTTTTTTGTTCCCTTATTCCTTCCTTTTTTGCTTTTCATTCTACCTTCATCCCTTTTCCATTCCTCACGGTTCTTTCGTAATATCATACCTCAGATGACGTCACAGTCCAACATTTCAGCGAGTGGTAAGACTGGGTTTCCCTGCTTTCTGATGCTTTTAACGACCCTACAACATCTGGAACTGGCCCTAACCCCAAATCCGCCTACGTCCCACGAGAGAGTGCAGCCTAGGTCCTACGACTGCATGCAGCCTAAGTCCCACGCTGCATGCAGCCTATCTACCACCCCCTGAAATATTAGACTGTCCTGTGACCTGTGGATTTACCCTGTTTGGGGTAGGATATTAAGAAATCACCTTCTTCTCTTTTTAAACCTTCCTAATTTCCACCTCTTCAGTCTTTTTGGTTCTTCCTATTTTATTCTTTATTCTTCTTCTCCCCTTTTTCTTCTCACCTCTTCCCCAACCTAGTTATTAGTCATATTTCAGGACAGTTGTTGTCTGATCTGATCTCATCTTGGTGTACCTTGCCGTATCGAAGTGAAATATTCGCCACTGGAAAGTGCCCGTTTGTGTGCTTTGTAAATGGGGATTCCCAGTTCCCAGGGACTCTGTTATACTCTCTGCCCGTAGCTTGCATGGTCGGCCCTGGCCTCCCACCTGGTATGTACGTCATTGGTTGCTGTGGTATGCTGTCCACAGTGTTGATAGCTGTAAAAGGCTCTATAGAATGGTTTAATATAACTTGTGAATATCTCAGTTGCAACAGCATTGGCTAGACAAAGCGTCGATTCAGCCATCTTTTAAATAACATCAATATGAGTTGTGTTTGGTCACCATCTTCATTCATTTTATTCCATTAATTGTAACGTTAGAGCAGTTATGAACTCGCATGTCAGTAGCAGGTCCTTCATGGTTTCACATAGCTTGCTCTGCACACTTTGCTTTGAGGCCAAGTGTCTTTTCGAAGTTGCATGTACAGTGGGCAGGTCTGTAGAATGTGCTCAGGTGTTTGTGGTCCTGTTTGACAGGCACACTGTAGGGACTGTACAGTCTTTATTTTATGCATATGGTAGTTGAGCCTGCAGTGTCCTCTTCGTAGACGGAAAATTGTTGTATATTGCTTTCTTTTGAGTTTGCTGATGGGGTCTTGTGGATGTTTACTGTTAGTTTGTTCTCTCCACAATTTCTTGTACTTTCCCTCGATAAGTGTTCTGATTTCTGGTAACGACAGTGAATGGGTGTGTTGTTTCTCCTATGTTCCAGTTTAGCAAGTCTGTCTGGTAATTCATTTCCTGATATGCCACAGTGGAATGTGTGTGTGTTTTTTTAAATATTCGCTCGAAAAGTCAATATTTGTCCGTCCTCTGGCGTGGCAGGCGACTCATCAAAAGCAAAGAAAGATGATCGGCCGGTTCCAAATGTTGAAATTAAGGAATGGCTGTCTGTCTTGACAAAAATGCAGGTTTTAAAAAACCGAGTGCTAGTGAATCGTCTGGAAATGCTGATGAATTATCCGGAAAGGAATAATTAGGATGTTGCAGAACCAACCCCAGAGTTTAATAATTTTGTGTGTGTGTGTGTGGTTGTTCTAGGCAAATTTTACGTTGAGTGGTTTGTCAATGCCTTCTAAATGGTCAGCTCCCGGTGCCACTGTCGAAACCAGCGCAAGACAAACTGTCCGCAGCTGGGATCGAACCCGGTACCCCTGGTAATACAAAGCGCGTTTGCACCGCCTAAGCCATAGACGCCAACGAAGTGACATTGCCTGATGTCATTATGGAATGTGAAACGACCAACCCCACACCCCTCCCCCCCTCTCCCGCCCTTATCTTTTTTTTTTTAATTGTACTGATGTAGACCTGCAGTATATTTACGTCACCAGCACAGGTCTTTGTCACAGTGATATAGTAATAATAAATGCATATGCTAAATATGTAATTGAAATGTCTTCGCAATGATTTCAGAGATCGATTATTTTTTGGTTAAAGAATAGATAAGGTAAATTTGTGACAGGGAACATATGAAACAAATTGTTAGTTAATTCCTATGGGGAAAAATGCGTTTGATATACGCCCTTTTCAATATTTGTCCTTCCCTCAGGAACAAATTAATGAAGAAAATTGTAGTTTCATTGTATTTTAAAAAGTACTGCTTCGCGGAGATACCTAGGACCCCTAGCTACAGAGTTTCATCAGCATGTTCTAATTCAGCCAGGGCTTGATCATAACCTGCTTAGTAGGTCAATGCTTGATCTTTGGCCTCTTCTTCCATGCCGTGCGGCGTTGGTAGTCATGTTTATCCACAACCTTCTGTCTTGTGTACTTTCAATCAGCTCTGAAACAGATGATCTTCCATGCCATGATGTCAAACTGTCCAGCATGTTTTCTCTTGGTCTCCCAGAGACACATAAACTGTGAGAGAGACAAAAATAGAGAAAGAAAAACAACAAAAGAGGATGAGGAAAGAGAAAGAGAGAAGGAGAAAGACAGAGAGGGGGAGAGAGAGAGATAGGGAGAAAGAGAGGTATAATTGTTCAAACTAGTTGTAAGCATGCATAGACACCTATATGAATTAATTAATAGATTGCTGTGTTATTTTCAAAGTATATATCATCATCTTACGCTTAACTTTGATGCCAAAACTGAAGATCGGATTTCATCCGAAACAAGTTAGGCTTTATCATTATCGGAAACTCACTGATATTAATATTTCGTGATTTCTTTATTCTAAAAACAGCAAGAGGTCAATCACTGTGAACTACCTTAAAACACTGCAAGGTATTCAACAAATTTAAAACTCTCACAGTATCGTCCATCCAACGTCCATCCAACGGCTACACATACTGAGTGTTGCCAGTTTTGAGACATTACATATCTACTGATCTTCCCTGTGACAACATCACAACAAACATCATGGCGCAGCAGACCTTCATCTCAGAAATCCATGTGCCTATCAAGCAAGATGACATGAGTTTTCAGGAGCGACAGATAAAACAGTGGGGTCAGTTGGAGAGCAGAATGCAGGTAAGATTATTATAGTGATCTTGAAACTCCTGCCCTCACACTTTAATGAATATCATGAAAACTCATGTACAGATCGACACAAATTTTTTCGTTTGGGTTTAGGGTATTTTTTTTATAAGCTGACCACAAACAGGGGATAATCTGCAGGTCACAGGACAGTCAAATATTTAAGGAGGTGGTAGATTAAGTGTATTGTTTTAGTTAGGTTAGAGTTAATTTTAGGGTTAGGTCAATGCGTGAAAACCTTGGCCTAGGAAGAAACACGCTAAAGAACAGAAAACCCGTTTTTACCATCCTTTAATGAATATCATGAAAACTCATGTACAGATCGACACAAATTTTTTCGTTTGGGTTTAGGGTATTTTTTTTATAAGCTGATTTTACCGTTTCCCTTCTTCGCTAGCTAGGGGACCATAATTATGGGGACAATGACCTATAAGAGCATATATTCTGCTAAAACTAATGAGACGGATGAATCACGACCTTCCAGGCAATTAAGGCACCCTACCATATATGTGTGTTTGTTTGTGAGGGGAATCAAGACCATCCAGACTATGAAGGCCCCTTACCATAAATGTGTGTTTGTTTGTGAGGTGAATCACGACCGTCCAGGCTATGACGGCCCCTTACCATAAATGACCATTTACTCTTCTCTGCATTGAGTGTGATGAATTCCTTATTGCAGTAAACCTACAACATTTTTTCTAAATCAAAATCCACCTGTGTTCTAATGTACAGGAGCGACGAAAACTCTGGGAGGATGAGTTTGAAAGGATGCGCCAAGAGTTCTTCACACTGAAACCCTCGGAGAAAACCAGTCAGAGCCTGACTTCGATGAACCTTGACACGGGGATGCGCAGTATGTTTGAGACTGACGCAGACGGGGTTCAAAGATTCCGAATCAGGTTCGATGTCTGCGAATTTCAACCAGAAGAGATTCAGGTAAGTACGTGTCTTTGTCTATGAGTGTTTGCTTCTGGTTGTTATACCAAGAGAAACGTGAAGGTTTAGGTTTATTCAAGGAATCAACATCATGGCACAAGGGTAGTAGCCCATAAATGCTCCCTTCTGCTTCTGACTCAAGCATGAGTCCAAAGAATCACAGCACAAAGCATAAACTGCTTACCACTGGTGAGGATCCTGAAATACTGTAGGTAGATTTTTTCAACTCCATATTTTGCCGGGCATGGCCGTAAGGCTACTCTTTTTTAGATTTCCAACTGCCAAGGGATTTTTTTTCATGTGCAAAAAAACACATTTGGACGTTCGATCTTACTAGCCAGAGACCAGGGGAAATTACTTGAAGCCCACGTGAAAAAATCTGAGGCTTCACTGGGGCTAGAACCTGGGACCTCCAGCACTTGAGACGGATGCCATGCCTCAAGACCACACAGTCCCCCAAAGGGAAAAGTAAAGTAATCCCATTTGTGTGTCATTAATTCTTAAAGAACAGAAGGTTTGTAATTATTGTCTGACATTTTGCAATTTTTCGTATTATATGCCCCCCCCCCCCCCCCCCTTTCCATTCCTTCATATCTCTCTGTTTCTCTCCCTCTGCCATGTAAACTGGGATGCCAATTATGTCCTAATGGGTCCAAAATTTGAGTCGTTTTGTTAGAGGTTTTTTTTTCTAATGTGCGTCCTGTCGAGTGTATTTTTTAGGTGGCTGTTTTCATGGCTGGCATCATGTTGTTGTGATTTTTTCCTTCTACCTGAGATTTGAAACTATAAACAACCTGAGTTATTTATATTTATCACTTCCCCATCTGGGTTCTGGGGTCCCATTAGGGGGAGGGGAGGAGAAGAGACAAACTGCCTCCTTACAAGCATGTTGTCTTCTTCTTCTTCAAGTTCACCAGTTGTTAACTCTGGTGGAAAGTTCTGGTTGTTCATCCACTTTCAGACTGCAGTCCTGTTACAGAACCTGAGTGTTGCGTGTGCATCCATTTTACAGATCTGACTCATTTGTATGCAGACTGCTGGTTCCTTTCTTCTCAGGCAGAGGCACTCCGACTTTGAAGGAGGCAAACATGTTGTAAGATGCAACTAATTAGGGATGTTCCCTTCTAAGTCTGAGTGCATCTACCTGGGAGGCAAGAAACCAACAGTCTGCATGCAGTTCAGCCAGATCTGTAAAACATATGTTTACGCAGGACTCAAGTTCTGGAACAGGGCCAGAGTCCTGAAGCAGACAGACAACCAGAACCTTCTGCTAGAGTTAACAGCTGATGGATGTTAAGAATGAGAAAGCTGATGAAAAGTTAACAAAGATCTTCAGAACAACTCCTGGGCTTTGGAGTGATAGAGTCCAAGAGAATAAGATGTTCCTTCAATATTAGGACAATGGAGAAAACTTGTATTAAATACAAAGATAATGCTACTAGTTCCCTATGTGGGTTCTGGGGCCCCTCTGGGTGGGGGGGGGGGGGGGGACAAGAACAGACCCACTGCCTCCCCAACAAGCATGTTGTAAGACTCTTTAAGTTGACTAACTAGGGGCTTACACCAGTACACAGAAGGCCGAAATATGAATAAAGATTTTATTTCTAATATTCAGTTGCTGCAATATAAAATGGTGTTGTAATAAAATATATCTCATCTTGACACTAGGTTAAAGTTCAAGACAATAAATTGATAGTCAATGCCAGGCACGAGGAAAAATCAGCCCAGACGTCAGTCAGTAGAGAATACAGTCGTCAGGTGTGTCTTTTGTTGGTTATCTATTCGTAATGGTGATAAAGCATTAAAAATAAAAAGTAAAGGTATTTTTTAATAGATATGCATACAGTGCTAGACCTCTATTTTTATAAACCTATTGGCGTTCGCTGGGTGATATGATCAGTATCACACCAACAACCTTTACTTCCCATGACTGTACCTGGTACCCATTTTGGGCTGCATTAACATTGCAGCCAAAAGTATATTAGGAAGGAAAGAAAAATCTACCTCAATGAAAGTTGAACCCTAGACCTTTAGGCCGGCAGGTGCATGTCTAGCTGTTGAGCTCTGCAACTTCCACCCAGTGCATGAATGTGAAGACAAATGTGAGATGTTTTGATTGGCAACATTTTGTACATGATTTTCAACTAACTTTTCATATGGTACATGGCCCTGTAACATCCTCAGCTTAGGATTTTCTTTCTCTTTTTTATTTGATAGATTCTATTATAATTTTACAACAGAAAGTTTCTTTGTCAACACAGGAGTCAGACAGGGATGCATACTATCCCCCTTTTTGTTTAGTGTGTCCATTGACTGGCTGATGAAGGAAGTTACACAAGATAGAAAAAGAGGCATTAGGTGGTCACTCACCTCTGTTTTAGAGGAATTGGACTATGCAGATGATATCAGCCTTATATCAAACCATCATGTGGATGCTCAGGAAAAGATTGAAATACTTTCAATAACAGCTCTTAAGATAGGACTCAAAATAAACACCAGTAAAACTAAAGTAATGAGAAATAAAAACTAAACAGAAAATCAAATTATTTTAAATGATGAAGCAATAGAGGAAGTTGATGAATTTATATGCCTCGGAAGTGAAGTTACTCCAAATGGAGATTCTGAAAAGGATGTAACATCAAGAATAAAAAAAGGAAAATCAAGCATTTGCCATGATTAACAATATATGGAATTTAGGGATTTAGTTTAAAGACAAAACTCAGAATATACAAGAGCAACATTTTAGGAATACTATTATACAACAGTTAATGGAAAATGACAGCGGGAATTACACATGAACTTGAGACTTTTCAAAATAAATGTTTCAGGAGAATTCTACAAATATTTTGGCCAAACAAGATCACAGATGAAGAACTGAGGAGGAAAAGAGAATGTGCATCACTGGCAAATGTTACCAAAGTAAGACAATGGGGATGACTTGAACATGTTTGTAGAATGCCTTGTGACACTCTGGCAAAAACAGCTCTCCGGTGGACAGCAGATGGGAAAAGGAGACATGGACGACCTAAGACCTGGAATAGGACAGTAGAACAGGAAATAGAAAAGGAATATAAACTGACATGGGATACCATGGGCAGAAAAGCAGCAGACCTGCAGCAATTGAGATCACTTGTGAATGCTTTATGTACCAACAGTGACATGAAGAGGAATTGATATAGATTATTTGGTTTGCTTTACAAAGGATGGCTTTCATTGTACATGGATACTTACATAATTGCACTATCTCCTCCAAGAGGTTACACACAAAATAAAGACATTGTGAGTTTTCCTGCTATAAAAAGAGTTAACTAAGTAATTCAGTATCAGTTAACTCACCACGTAGTTCTTGTTTACTCTTTACATGTCATGTTTTTTCTAAACACTGAACATGAAGATTAAATTAAGAGCTCAGTACACACTTTGTAGCTCCAACAAAAATTATTATTATTGGGTTGGATCTGACACAATAATAACTGGAACTCTTCACTGGCCGCTGCAGATGAGGATGGAACACATATGGGATTGTTCCAAGTGTTGTGATATCAGTTTTTGACCCAACTTAACTCTTAAACACTTTTTTCCCATAGAGCTATTATCATTACCCATGTCCCCCATGTGGGTTCCGGGGCCCTATTGTGGGAAAAACAAGAATAGACCCACTGCCTCCCCAAAAGCATGTTGTAAGAGTCGACTAACTGGGGAGCTTCCTTCGAAGTCAGAGTGCATCTGCTGGAGAGGCAAGGAACTAACAGTCTGTATTCAAGAGAATGAGATCTGTAAAACTGATGCACAGGTAACCAGAACTTTCCGCCAGAGTGTACAGCTGGTAAATGCGAAGAAGAGGAAGAAGAATTACCCATGTACTCCCAAATGTTACTTCAGTTACTTTTGTCCATGTAGTGTTGTTATTTCAGCTCCTCAGAATTTAAACAACTATTACTGTAGGTCAGTGATTCCAGTGTGTTGGGGCGCCCCTTGGGAGCTGCTACCTTTCCACAGGTGCGCCGGAAAGTAAAAACTTCATAATTGGTTTAACCAAGACACGAATAGTCCTACTTGTAATTAGGTTAAGGTGCTGTGGAAAAATTTTAATTAAAAAAAGGTGCCACGACCAAGAAAAGTTTGGGAAACTCTGCTGTAGATAACAAAAAATACTTAGAAATCTATGAGTTTAAGTGATACTTGCTTAGATCCAAAAGATGTCAGCCATGTCAGCTTTGTTTCATTGCTGGTAACCATTACAGGTAGACATTCCTTGCAGTGTGGATCAAGAGAAGATGCAGTGTATCCTTAGTAAAGATGGGATTCTCAGCGTTGAGGCACCCCTGAATCAGCCAGCACTTACCGGGGAGGACACCATATTTCCAGTAAAATCTTCAACACCAGGCAAATCTCTCGACATGTCCGCACAGGTCAAAAATCCAATTATCACTGAAGCTGATGGTTCTAGAAAATTAAGACTGGAGGTAATTAAAGTTTTCATATAATATATAACGTTTTTGTCTCTTTACTCATGACCATAGGTTCCAAGCTTCTTTTGTCCTACTGCTTATGCCGTAAAGCCTCACAGAAAGGAGTTATATGTAGTTTCCTCTCTTTTGCTTGTGTTAATGTCATATTGTGTTTCTGTAGTGTCTCTTTTACTCCTTTCACCCATCTCTTTATTGGTCTGCCTCTTGCCTTGTAACCTACTGTTTTCATGTTGTACACTCTAGCTGTTACCTGATTTTTTGTTCTAGTCCAACCAGATGAACAAACCATTTGATTCTTTGATGTTCTATGAATCCATTTACCAATACATAAGCTTGATACATGCAGTAGAGAGATCCCATGTTCGGTCAGCTGACATTCAAATGGAAACCAAGCTATATGGAACAGTGGAAGATATATGTAGCTCTACATACTTCATAGAGGCCTGTTTCTTCTTATCTGAAAAGCACTAGCATTGAGAACAAAAAAGGCAAGATTTACCAGTTCTGTGCCAACCATTGTTCTTAACTGATGACTCTGCTTCTTCTTGAAGCTACAATATTATCATTATTTTCACTCATAAAAATAGGCAGCAGATGTCTTGTATGTCATTGACTAAAACACTTCCTTTTTAGATGTCTACAGAACAAATTTAAGTGGCATGTAATTTCATTTACACACGCACACAAAAAACCTTAAGCTCTAGAATGCAATCCATGACACAGGGGGATGGGGGTCTTTACTCATTTTTTAAGGGTGCACTGGTTAATGTGTAATGCCACGGCTGCTCAGGTGTGAAATTTGTGTCTGCCTTTACAAAGAAAAATCACACCACCTTACAGAGAATCTAACCTGAGTCTCTCCTTTAGAGCTTAGCATTCTCAGCCATTCGGCCAGCCGTTCCTCTAGTACGGAGGCAGAAATAGATCACTGTGGCTGAGAAGACTGGAACTGTGAGGATTGACCAGGAGATCTGGCTGACAATGAACACTCAGGGGAAAGGTGGCATGGATATACATTCAGACAGTTACTGACAGAATTGGAACTCAGTGTACTTGCTGCAGAAGATGGGAGCCGAGCGCTTATGGAAATGTCATGAGTGTTATGAGTCGATTCTTGAACGTTCAACATTTAATGCAATCTATGTTGCCTATAGTAATGTTTATAAATGATAAGTTCTTCAGTATGACTATTATAAAAGTAAGGAGTCAATGGCAGATCTTTGAAAATATAGAAGGGTCCACAAGACTGAATATATGAAGTCCATGGTATCTAACAATGATTAGGCTGCAATTCTGGTATAGGACAGTTAGTGTTGGTACATCTGACAACTGCCTTATGTATTTTTATTTGCACGTGCAAGCTTCAAATTTTGCTGGGATTAACAAATTTTTCACTAGTTTTCAAATGAGACAGTGAAAGACATTTTGTGTTATTTCAACTGGTAAAGCAATGGAACATTTATGAGGTAACCCCTTCCCCCCCCCCCCCCCCCCTGCTGCAATGATGTTAGAATCTCAACTGTTAAGAGTATGCGTCTTTTGTTTCGTGACACAAGGATGTGTCAAGGGCCATTCTATAATCACTAAAGATAAAAATTGATGAAAAGGATTGAACTCACAATTTTTTTTTTTTTTTCAAATTCATTAACTGCTGTGAAACAAGAAGAAAAACATGATACGGTACAAGCTTTTAACATCAAAAGACTGACTCACAATCACTATCAAAGCTTAGAAAATAAAATAATTTGGAATTATTAAATGTAACAGTGGTTTAGAAAGAATAAACATGAAGAAAGGCAGTTTATGACCAGCATGAAGGCGGACATCAGTCATTGAAGGCACATTAGGGATGAACATGTAGCATTGGTAGCGTTGACAGACACTCCATTTTCCCCTGATTCCTCCATTTTTTTTTTTTCACTTAAATTTTGTTCACATGGAGTAAGTTTAGTATTCTAATGAATATTTTATTGCCTATTAGTAATAAAAAATGTCATTATAAATAAACAAAGTTTCATCGCTCCATTCTTTATTTTACAAAATCTGGTAACCCTAAGGGTTGGACTTCAGTATAGTGCAAAATCAGGCATGTTTTTTCCTGTTATGCTATGATAAGAGTGCCTTTCTGCCAAAAACCTGGTATATGATGATGGTTATCAGCTAACTCGATTCACACCGCGTATATAATGTTACAATGTTTGTTCACAGTGTTTGATGTTATTTGTTTGATCTTAGGTGGACATTGGAGAGTTTAAACCAGAAGATGTGGTAGTCAAGACGATGGACAGGAAGTTGATCGTTCATGCAGAACATGAGGAGAAGACTTCTGGCCGCACTCTGCATAAAGAGTTTAACAAGGAATATGACTTGCCTGGTAATATATCTCTGTCTGTCTATCTACCTATCCATCTGCCACCATGTGCTAGTGAATCATTCTCCTAATAATAAAGTATTTCTGGGCAGCCATGGTAGCCCAGTATTAGGTACACTTTCTGAAGGCTCGATGGACTTAAGTTCTAGTCCACATTGGGGTTGATTTTTAACTGATCTGGGCTGATCATGTCGACCCAGTCTATTGATCACCACTCAGATAAAACGATAGAAACATGGTGAAAGTACATTCTACTTCAATGTTTTTCCCCCAGCATTCCTATAATTTCTACTTATTTCCTTTGCATATGTGTGTGTGTGCCAAATCAGCATTTATATATTGTTTGTTTTGTTTTAGTATCCAGAGGACATGAGTTGTTAACCCTTAGGCTCGGTATTATGGATATCGCAACCTTTCGGCCTTGATTTCATTGTAAATACCGTAAATCTGGGAGAAAATGTGGCTTTCCTGCCTACCCCCGGGATTGAATGCGGACCACAAGGAGTTCGTCACCCGGTCTCCGCGCAATCCGGTTTAGCCAACTACGCTAGAGAACCAGGCGCATTTATATATCAGTTCTTGTGTTATGTCACTGGCTTAGATGCTCTCTGCCAGTCAGTATTTCTGTGTATGATTAAATTATGGATACCCTGCTAGGATTGACAGTAACACTGTAAGTGGAAAGGCTTATCAAAACGAGATATTTCCAACTAAATGTCACATTGAAGTGGACATTGATGATCATGATTGTTGTTTTTCCTGGCACTCGATATTTTGACAAAGTTGGTGTTGCTGGATTGTTTCCAAATACTTTGGACTTTCAGCCCAAAATGGAAGACAACAGGTTGACCACCGATGTCCCAGTAAATTCCATATTTCTGGACCAAGAGTGCAAAAGTTCCATCGCCCAGATTCATGTGGAATGTGTGTTTTTAAAAATTGAGGGAAGGCGATGATTATGTTTGGAATAAGTACTTATGCTGTATTGCATGTACAATGTCAACTACATGCATCAACAGTGAGGTGTAATTCTGATGTGGGTTTGTTAGTGTTGGCACATCTGACAGAAGGATTTGTGATTTCCACTGGCACAGGAACGGAGGAATTATAGGACAGTCTATGATTCCGCATGCTCAACTGAGAAAAAACTGTGAACCTGGAATCTTGACTAACTACTGTATTTTCTCAGTTGAGCATGCGGAATCATAGACTTGTTTACAAAAAGTAATACCTTCCTTTAAAACTGGTAGTTCCGAAACATTGGAAATGAATATGGAGAGGTCTGCAAATCATTATGTATGGGATACACGATCGACACAGACAGTGTTGTTTTGGCAAATTGGAACTTCTCAATCAACACACATAGTGTTGCTCGGGCCTCAAAGAGCTAATATGTAATTATTTTTGCAGTGTAAACTTAAAAAGATGTGAGTTTTCTACTTCTGCTATTGAGACTCCTCATCTGATAAATAAGTCAGTGAAGCAAATTGTTTTGATCATATTTTAATCTCAGCATACGATTATTTTGACTTTTAAAAAAATACATAATATAGGATAAATGGAATAAGACTAAAGGATTTTTTTTTTTACGCCAGTGGTACATCAGGTATATGTTGCTAATATTTAATAGACTATTCGGCATTCTGTGGGTGATACGGCCAATGTCCTGCTGGCTGCCTTTACTTCCAAGGTCATTACCTCATATACATTTAAAGCTGAGTCAATCTGATAAACAAATTGAATTTTTAAAAAAAGTCTGATTTAGTGTGGATTTGAAGTAACTGACGTTCAAGTAGCTAGGATATGTGGTCAATTTTGCATGTTATACAATGTGCTAAAAAAAAATTAAGTGTTTTGATCATAGATTCCACATGTCGGTTCCAGGGCCCTCTCTGAGATGTTAAGAGGGGAGGGGCAGTAGACCACTGACCTCAGTAAGCATGTCAGGAGGTGACTAATTAGGGGTGTTTTCTTCAAAGTCAGAATGCATCTGCCTGAGAGGCAAGGAATCTGCATGTAAAAAAGCCAGATCTGTCAAATGGATGTGCACACAAAACTCAAGTTCTGGAACAAGACCAACATCCAGAACTTTGAACACAACCAGAACTTTCTGCCAAAGTTTATAGCTGGTGAATGCAAATAAAATTAATCAACACATGGGGATTCTTAACAGGTAAGGAATGAGGCAACAAGTCTGTTCATCATACTGCAACTGGTCTGGTCCTTTTAATATGTTTTCTCTTTTATTGCACATACAGAATCGGTGGACCCTGCAACTATCCAAGCCTACCTGACGGAAGACAAGAAGCTAACAATAGAAGCACCATTAAAACCACTGCAGAAGAAGACATACACGGTGACACAGAGCCAGGATGTAAGGAAAGTTACAGTCAGCAAAGAGTCATCAGTCACAATCAGTGATAGTCAGAACAGACCAGTGGTTACAATCAGTGTGCACAGAAAATAATGCTTCTACTTTGTGATATGTTATTATTATTATTATACCTTGATGTCCATTATATTACTCAAATTGTTTATACTTACCTTTGTTTTTTTTTTTGGTGTTCACCAGCGGAAAGTTCTGGTTGTTTATCTACTTCTAGACTTTAGTTTTGTTCCAGAACATGGGTTTTGCTTGCACATACATTTTACAGATCTGGCTTTATTACAGCAGACCTTTGGTTCCTCGTCTCAGTATTAGGCAGATAAACTCCCGACTTCGAAGGAAACACCCCTAATCAGGGGACTCCTATGATAAACTTGTTAGGGAGCAGTGGGTCTATTCCCCCCCCCCCCCCTAGAACCAATTCAAGTGTTAATTTTTTCAACTGTTTGCAATGGTTTCCCTTTTAACATCTGTTTTCATCCTTAATAGAACAGCTGGCATGCTGTACTGTGGTTTATAGTTTACATCTGCCAAGAACTATTTTTTGGAATTCAAGCATTTGGGATCAATTTTCACATCCAATGGAAAACCAAACAGAGAAATTAGCTCCAGATGTGCCAAAGCTAATCAAGTAATGGGGCAACTATCTTACCTGTTGACAAACAAGCGGATACCCTGGAGTGGTGAATATTATGAGAACTATTTTTTGGAATTCAAGCATTTGGGATCAATTTTCACATCCAATGGAAAACCAAACAGAGAAATTAGCTCCAGATGTGCCAAAGCTAATCAAGTAATTGGGCAACTATCTTACCTGTTGACAAACAAGCAGATACCCCGGAGTGGTGAATATTATGAGAACTATTTTTTGGCCAACACCATGCTATAAGTGCCAAATGTGGACACTTACATCCTTTAATGAACGTAAAATTGTGAATTCATTCATTCATTCAGTAGCATGTCCCTCGCGGAACCTCGCTGCCATAACAACCCTCCGGAAAACCTTTCTATCCTGAGCAAGATGTCCTGCGTCTGATACACCCATCTGGAGATCATCTGCCACATCCTGCACCCATCTTCTCCTTGGCCTTCCTCTTCCTCTCTTCCCAGGCATATAAGCCTCCATTATTGTTCTCTCTAGACTTCCATGACGTTTCAAGTGACCAAAATATTTCAATTTTCTTTGTTTTATTGTCTTTACTAGCCAACCCTCTTCAATATTCAGCTCTTGAAGTATGGATGCATTTGTTCAAATTGTGAATACAGAGATAAAATGCCTTAAAAGAGCTGCAGGAGTTTCAAGGAAAGACGTAATATGAAATCAGAAAAATGCTAGGAATAAAGCCAGTCTTACAGGTCATCAAAGAACAAATGAAGTAGTTGGACATCTAACGAGAAAGCCCTGGTAATATCTACCACAGCGAGCCACACTGAAACGTTACAAAGGGGAGAGGGAGGGGAAAACCTTGGAAAATGTGGAGTGATGGCCTTACAGAAATGAACATCAATCTTAATAGTGCTCATCAACAAACGTTTCATCTTCCCTCGACACTTCACTGATGTGCAATGTGGAAGAGAAGAAGAAGAATCGGCAGGTTTCAGCCCAACACATCCAATTTCAGCAAAAACTAAAATTGATTCATTTTTACTGTATTATTGTGAAGGGGCACTCAGTCTACTCAATTTGCCGAACCCCGCCTCCCTACTTTATGGGGGCCTAGTACTGGAATCCACATAGAAAATGGTTTGATTTACTCACAGTAATCTACTGAATGTCTGGCTATTATGAGGCATTTGCAAGTCTCTACTGAACTGGGCAGTTCCTTTCATCAGTTTTCTTTGCATAAATACTCCCAGTAGGTTACAATTTCTTTCTCTGAGGTCTCCACTGAGTATGGGCTGTTTTATCCATTTTTCTTATGGTGGCATCCTCTGTTTAGTCCAGTTAAAAGTTTGACCACAAACTGTTCCTCACCAGGGCACCGAGTAGTAGAGGAGGATGCTTATGTTTGCACTATTATCAGAATAATGAATGCTGTTTTGTGTACTTAAATTATACTTCTTCTTCTTCTGTGTTCATCCAAAGATGTAATTGTGTTGTGTCTGTTTACAGCATGGCTGCGATATTTGCACTTTTAGGCCAACATCTCCGACTTCTGCTGGCGTTTGTTGACCGGTTAGCCTTCCTGGTTACTTAAATTATACTATCAGCTTTATTACGACGAACAAAAACTTTACAAGCACAAAATGGACAACAAGCTGCACAGGCTGTTTTTCGTAGGAGCAAGCTGTGTAAAAAAAAAAAGGTTGTTTTCTGAAGAAAATAGATATTTACTTTCACTTTACACGTATTTTTTCTTGCGCTCACCTGAGGTGAGATATGGAGTGTCTCCTTATGCATATCCAAAAGCCTTAACCTCTCTTCACACATGTGGCTGAAATCCATGAAACCAACCAAGAGTCTGTATACTAGATAAACCAGATTTGTAAAAAGGGATGTGCACGAAAAACTGAATTCCTGAAATAGCATCACCAGAAGTGTCAAATAACCAGAACTTTCTGTCAGTGAACTCAAAGAACATGTTAACTCTATAAAGGTTAAATGAGAGTAAATGTGTCCCTTTATTATACAGTAAAACCTCATCAAACTTGCTTAACATGAACAAAACTGTTGATCCAGGCAGAGATGTGTCATTATTACTGTATTGGTTTCTGGTTAGTAAAAGAATTGATGTAACACAGACTCAATTTAAAGTCCTTGGAATTTGTGTTGAGGTTTTACTGTACAAAGCATGACTGGCTGAGATGCTGGAACACCCTGCACTAAATTGCAAGCAAATGCTCTAATTGTGTAGGACATGCAATGCTTTGATAATTGCTTGGCATAGAATTATTATGGTAAGGATAAATAGGCAAGAGAAACTAGATATGTATCTGGTCCATTTTTGAAATGTTTGTCTCAGAGGGCCTGTTCCCGTTTCCCGACCCACCTCCACTTCCTCAGTCTGATCTAGATAAGAGGGGTGTCACGTAGTAAGCTTTCTTTCGAAAGTCTTCTCTCATGTGACCTAGGCTAAGGCTGTGGAAAGGCAGGTTTGAGTTGGGACCAGTTCTAGATGTTTAAAAGATGTGTCATCGTGTAGTATAGAACACGCTACATCAGCACTGATGTAATTGGAAGCAAGACAAAGTAACACCCCATTTCTGAGAAAGTATAAATGAAAAGTCTGCCAGTGCATAGATGGGCTGGGAAAGGTGAACTGGACTGCAGGAGATGCAATGTTTTGATGGCTGCAGTCTTATTTCCCCCCTCAGCACGCTTTTATAACTTTGCAAAGTGAATAATTGGTATATGTGTAGATTTTCTGTGTACTGCATGTTTTGCTGTATGTTATATCTATGAGGCTTAACATTTACTTGTTCATTGATTGGTTGAAATTGATGTATGTAAATGGAAGAGCCAGAGCTATTTGTGACAAAATCTAGTTGAAAATTAAAATATTTGAGGAGGTAGATGCTTTTTTAAATGTTTGTGATGCTGCTCTTTTGGTCACAATATTTAAGAATAAACGTGCAATAAATAAATGTGTGCTTATGTTGTCACTGATTTGGCCTTTGATTATTTAGTTAAGTTCTATTTGAAAACTGTCAGGGTGAAGACTTTTAATCTAGACATGACTTTTCAATTTGTGGTATATTTTGTCAAGAGTGTGCGATATTAAATACACAAATCTGGAAATTTTATAATGCAGTTCTTTAGTGAAAATACTGATCTTGATACTCTAAATGACCATAAATTTGAGCATACTTGTACCACTGATAGTGTATAAATTCTACATTTACTGGCTGTAAAATCTGGTGGAAAGTCTTGATGTTCATTAGCCTACAGTCTTGTTTCAGAATCAAAGTGTTGTTGCTTGCACATCTGTTTCATAGATCTGGTTAATTTGTATCCTCTTGGTTCCTTACCTCTCAGGCAGATGAACCCATTTTAAAGGATGATAGTGTATGATTATATACCCTGTGCTACAGTAGCTTTAACCACCCCTGCAACTTATTAAATCCTGGATGGCAGTCCGTAAGAAAAACAGTTGTTAAAACTGCGAAGAAGAAGTTACAATAGAATGGAAACAAAACGGGAAAGACCAAGAGAGACTGTACAAAGAACCATCATCAGGAAAGGCTCAACCATTGGCCTAATGAACCTCCAAGACCTAGAACCGCTGGCAACAAACTGCCAGAGATGACCTCTGCACCATCCTAGGCTCAAGGGGGAAGACTAACTAAAGAATTTACACCACTGTACTCAGGATATCCCGACACATGCCATCTCCATCACTATCCAAGGAGTCCTGATTCTAACAGTTGCATCTTGATGAACACTTTATCACTACCAGTCAACTATGTACAAGTTCATTAATCTTTACATCATTTTATTATATATATAGTAAACAGACGGACAATGTATCGATCAGTACTCACAGAAAGAAGTAGATAGAAGGCCACACTAGACAACATAAAAATCTAAGATTTAGTTATTGTACCACTATATATCTATGGCAGCACGGCAACTATAACTTTTGACTTTAATGTCTAGTGTGCCCTTCTAACTTTCCATGAGTGCTAGTCAATACAATGTCTCTTGTGTACTTTATAAATAATCTGTATGGCCTCAGGGTCCGCCTGTGCGGGGTGAAAGGGCTAAAAAAAAACTTGAATCTGGTACAAATCTTTGATAAATGGGATAATATGAGAACAGAAATCCTAATCGGTAGTGAATGGCGACTGAACTGGACTGACAGCAATGATTGTAACAAACTGCAGGCAGGTTACACCCTAATTTTAACCATTAAAAGTTGGACCCGCCCACATCAAAAGGAGACTACATCACGTCAAAAAGAAAAAGCAGAGTATTGTGATGGTGGAAAATTTTGAGAGACCGACCAAGAAAATGCAGGAGTCATCAGGAGACTGAAGATCATCTGTCAGAAATGATTCAAAGTAATATAGTACAAGGGTGTGGCAATACATGCCCAATGCCATGTGGCATAGACTAAATGAAATCATGGCATACAGAATGA